AACCCAATAAAAAATCATGCGCCCCCCCCCCCCCCCCCCCAATGTGATAGCAAAGAAGTTAGAAAAAAATAAACGGTAAACAAAATTAAAAATTACTCCAGGGATATAGAAGGAAATGAGTTTGGAAATACTAGAGAGTTGCTTAAATAATGCATCACACTAAAAATAAACCTATTAGATTTTAGTCAACTAAAATCGACTTTAATTTTCATTGACTAGAATCGACTTGAATTTAGTCAGCTAAACTAGACTAAAATATAAATTAATCTGATGACTAAAATGCGACTAAAATTAAAAATACATTTTCATCAAAAGACTAAGATGAAATTTGGCATCAGAATTAACACTGGAATGGGGCTAGTTCACACCGGATATGTTGCATTACATTGCGCTGAAAAAAGTGGTGCATCTTCTACTTTTTTTTTTAATTGCAACGTAAAGCAAAGTAGCGCATCGGAGCGGTGGGAACTAGCCCCATTGACACCCATTCATCTTTCAGTGCCCTTCCATTAGCATCTATTGAAAAACGTATCGCAATGCAACTGATCCAGTGTGAATGAAGCTCTTATATATGTGATGTGTACATTGATCACTTTCTGCTTTGTTATTTCTGCTTGTGCAATCATGAACTCTAGTAAGCAATCATCACTCCCTCACAACAACCTTGGTGCCTAGAAGTAATATATTATGTTTCTTCCCTACATCAAACCCCATCAAAACCTTGCAGCTTTAAGTTATAAATATAACATTGTTCATATTTTGTTTATAAAAAACAGACATTGCTAAGAAAACCATAGATAATCCTTATTCATCTGTTATCTTTGTCACTTCACATCCACTATCACCCACGGTCCATACCATTCTGCTTTTCCATTTCATTCTCCCCTCTGACCTGTTTATAGGAGACAGTTCTTCATACTTTTTCCACCAACTGACCGGTTATATTCCCCAAGATTCCTCAGGTACCTTTTGTGATATCTCCTCTCCTAACTTCCACTAAGCACCTTAGCTGTACTTATGCTAGATGCATGGCAGATTTGTTTTCAGCCACTGCATGCATGGGAATATCTATTATATGTTCATATTTACTGAGATATACAGTATGTGGACTGTTTCATTGACTTTATAAATTGTTATGACATTTGGATCATCCCTGTTCCTTTTTGTATGCTGCGACATGTAGTACAGGGGTAGGCAACCTTGACATCCATCTCTGTTGAATCTACAAATCCTAACATGCCTCTTTCTCTGGGAGTCATGCTTGAGGCTGACAGAGTCTTGAAATGCCTCATGGGACTTGTAGTTTCACAACAGCTGGAGTGCCAAAATTGTCTATCGTTGATGTAGGGCTTGACCCCTTTGTCTCTCATTTTGTATTACAAGTGTTATTCCCATATAGGTTGATTTTTTATAAGCAAATCTCTGTCTTATAAAGCAAATCTGTAGAGTCTGACATATTCATGGTTGTGTATGATTTGTGCTAAAGTCTGAATTCAATACAATATTTTTTTTAAAATTGTATTAAAATGTTTATTTTGTACAGATACGGTAACAAAGACTTACAGAGTATTGGGAAAGCCTATGGATTCTATCCACCAAGAAAAAGTGCATCATTTGTTATAAATGGACATTCTGTGAGTTACTTCCTTTCATTTAGATTCAAGGGACAATTACAGGTTGTTCCTATTTAAAATATAAGATTTATTTAAAGCTTAACTCCAGTCACATATACTGTAAATGACACACATGAAGGCAGCTCCGTATTTATTCATATATCATTAAATGCATTTTAAAAAAAAATAAAAGCAGTGTAAGTACCCGAATTTGCCTCTTGCAAATGCCTTTACAATAGAGCCCAGACAGGGAGAAGGAAAAGCAGCAAAAAAGAGCCAATAAATTGTGCTGCAGTGCTCATGTGCTAACAAGGAACATACTGAGAGGAAACAACAGAGTGACAGAGAGATGAACTTATCAGCATGCTGCTTCTCCATTCACTGCCCAGTCACAAACTGGGGGAGGGACAAGACCTCTAAGTGTAACTTAACTGTAGCAGAAATAAAAAAGGTATTCTGTCCTGCCAGACAGGGCTATGCTGTGTGGCAGAGCTGTGTAAATCTCAAAGTTAGATGGACAGACAAAAATCCTTTGGCAGGTAAAACAGTCCTTTATATGGATTCCATCTGTGCATTTGCCTGTGTCTAGATTTCAGCTGTAAGTGTTCAGTAATTCCATTAACACACACTTCTACACTGAGTGGCCAGATTATTATTACCACCCCATCAGTACTTCGTTGGGCCACGAGATAACTCCACGAGATGACTTTGTTGGGCCGTCTCGTGACTCCATGAGATGTTGAAAGGTGATGCGAGGAATCTGACACTGCACTGTTGCCCTTCTGTTGTCTTGTACCAGTCTTGCCACCCTCCGTTCTGCCCTAACATTGACTAGTCGCTGATGGCCACAATTCGCGCGTTCAGACCCAGATTTTCGTCTGACAGTCCAGTCTTTAAACACTTTAACAATGAGCCCCTCTTGAACATTTAACGAATTCTGTTGTTTTGCTGATAATCGCTCAATGGCTCGCGCCAACAATCATCCCACGTTCAAAGGCTGTTTAATCGCGTTGTTTACCCATATCTTCAGAAAAAATCACTTCTACTGTTGTGGTAAACAACCTGCTTCCCTATTTATAATGGTCTGTCCCTCTAGCAACTTCAGCACAAAATTATAGCTAATTATAGCTAATTTGCCTACAACTGTCAGGTGGTCATAATAATCTGGCCACTCAGTGTAATGTAAAATGAACATAGTATCAGGTTCAAACATCCTTTGCCTCTTTCTAGCTATCACAGTCATTATTTTATCAATCTTTAAAAAAAAAAGAAAAAAACTCCAGGCAGAAAAAAAAAATCTTAACCCTTGCAGTGGGGCTACCCCCGCTCTGCAAGGGTTAAGTGCTTGTTTTGGTGTAGGGTGTAAAATAAAAAAAACATATAATCATCCGATTCTCGGAGCCCATGGTTAGGTTCACATTCAACAATAGAATCGGGGTCCACAAATGCAAAAAAAGACAATGTCTAACCCTCATTTCCCATGGCCAGTCCTCCTTCCAAGATAACTCTGGTACCAAATATCCAATCACTCAATTCATCACATGTGCCCACGATCACGTAATTTACGGCCTGCAATGTTCTTGCAACCTCCTTTACATTGGCCGCACCATCCAACCCCTCCACAAACGCATAGTAGAACACAGGAGGTTCATCGAGAAGGGGTGCACTGAGCATAGCGTCCCACGCCACTTCCTCCTGAAACACCACAAAAACACAGAGCACCTAAAAGTGTTTGCCATTGAGCAGATTTCCACCAAACTCTCCCCTCCAGAAAGATTCCACCTCCTGTGCAAAGAAGAAACATACTGGATTTATAAATTAAACACACTGTCCCCCCATGGCCTTAATGAAGAGCTGGAAATTAACACCATCATTTGACCACTTGATCGCCAAACATACTTTCTTTTTACTTAGCTTACCTACTCCCCAATAGAACATCCCTTCCACTCCTTAACATGCCCTCTCTGAGCCACCCATTTATTCCCCCACCCCATAACCCCTCATAGCTCACCAGCCTTTGTTTCATTATTTATGTCTCTCCCATTGCCCACATAATATAGCCTCTTCGCACCACTTCCACCCCTCCCCTCCCCCCCATAACCCCTCATAGCTCACCTGCCATTGTTTTATCATTTATGTTTCCCCTATTGCCCACATAATATAGCCTCTTCACATCACTTCTCCCCCTCCCCAGTTTTTTCACACATGCTGTTTCATGTTTATGTTTATTCCACATTCTCGCCTCTCACTTCCTTGTTTCTCTCTCCCCGCCCTCCTCGGCAGCGCCACCCACTTTATGCTTATTCCACATTATCGTCAGTCACTTCCTTGCTGCTTCCTCCCCGCCCTCCTCGGCAGCTCCACCCACTTCCCCACATTAAAAAAAAGCCGTTTTCCCCGCCAACCTTCCGGCTTGAAAAAGACCTGGCTCTTCGAAACGCGTAGCCGCAACAACGTTCACCTGCTCACATTTGCCTTCTCCCCAAGACTCAGCGCTCGTTGCCCCGGGCGTCGCTGCTCGCACCCTCGAGCGCTGACGTCACACCACTCCCACTGACTCTCCCGGCTATCACAACATTCTCCGCTCTCTGTGCCCGCCCGCCTCCAGCCGTCCTCTCCCCCTGACACACCGCTCGTTGTCTCGGGCTGGCTTGCTCGTGCCCTCGAGCGTTGGAGTCTCATCACTCCCATCAGCGATTCATTGCTGGACACCTCGGGCTCCATCCCAGTCTCTTTCCCTCTCTGCACACCCGATCCGCCCAGTGCATATGCCCACACTGACCTAACACTTCCAGCCGCCAGACCCATCACCCTTAAGCAGCAACACAGTTCACACCAGCTGCACCATACCCCTCTCAGTCCCAACAGCATCCAACAGGCCATGTCCACCCGTGCCTGTCACCCCCCTCCCATGCATTAATCGGACCCAGGCTCCCACCACCATCCAGCACCCCCCAAACCCTCAATTCCCCCTGACCTTCCCACAAGCACAATTGATTGCTCATAATCCCCACCAGTGGAGGTTCCCCATCCATCCAACCCTCATCGATGATATCGCATCCGCACCCACCCAGTTGGATTTGGGTTTTTGTCCGGTCAGGATTGCAATGGGACAGGAGGATCCATTTTTCAGCCAGGCGGCAACGAGGTTCAGGTGAGCATAGCTTTGTTATTTTATACCGTACACTAAAACGAGCACATAACCCTTGCAGTGTGGGGGTACTCCCACTGGAAGGGTTAGGATTATTTCTGTCTGGAGTTCTTCTTTAACAAACTGATGACTGGGAACAAACATTAACCCAGCTTTAGCCAAGAATTTTGTTATTATTATTATTATTATATCTAGAAACTTGTAATGGGCAACTGATACAACCAGCTTACAACTCCAGCTAAAACCGTTTTCGAGAGAGGAAAAAATAACATCTGCCTGTTAAAAGCAACAAAGTAATGAGACATCATTAATATCCATGATACTGTATATACAAGCACTTTTGAAGTGTATGCTTATTTTCTTCCCAGGAAAAGGACTAGAAAATTGCTACAAATTCCATGTAATAGCCCCTATAAAAAAACAAATCAAATCAATAGTATTACTCTGTTCAGTTTTTATTTATGCTTTTGCCCAGCTTTTGTTCAGTCCCATAGGAGTTATGTAGTCTCATGTATTTCAGGAACAGAGTAAGATGGGTTCATCATTTGCAAGTGGGACACTATATGTGAACGGGGAGAGGAAGCACGTGCTACTTACTGGGTCACCTGCACAAAGTAGGTCATTTACTTTGCAATTGAATTAGAATGACTAATGTATGGTATAGATTAAAATAATTTAATAAGAGCTAACAGTAATTAACTGTACTGCTGGAACAATCATTGTGATTTACCCCAATAACAAGCACTAGGAGAGTCTGAACATGTCCACCACTTCAACAGCCAAAACATGTTAAAGTATAATGTTTAAAGTGACAGTGGCAAACCTTTCTCTTATTTCTATGGCTGGCTTATTTAGACGCTGACATGTTTGAATTTGACTGTAACAAGCAGCGGTGTAACTACAGATCATGGGGCCCCATAGCAAAACTGTGATGGTGGGCGATCCCTGACGACCTCTCTCTGAGTTGTGACTAATGACACCAAGCTCCAAGAGACTCCTCTTGTGCACCTGATGTCAGCTTTCCTACACTGTAGACTTTATGGAGGATTAGGATTATCAACTGCAACCACCCCAACCCTTAATGACACAGTACTTTGCTATTTTCACATGTTCTATATTTAATTTGCCTCAACAACACTTAATGGGGCCCCTTTCCACCCCCAGGCCGCATAGCAGCTGCCTGGGCTGCTATGGCTATAGTTACGCCACTGGTAACAATATAAGGAAAGACAGGAAATGTAACAGAATTTTGTTATGCATGAATTAAAACACTGCACAAATTGAAGGAAAAGTAATGGTGATCTGGTTCCATAGACATCATGATAGTGACTGGCGAATCTCTCACCTTTTTAAAAAATAGTAAAGAGATCTGCTGTGTGTGGACAACCAATGGCTGAAAAGGATGGTTTAAGGCTTAAAATAGATGGGAGATATTTCACTAAGTGTAACAGATAGTGAGGCACTAACAAATATATCAGATGCTCATAGCCACTTGTTCCATTGTTATTCCCTACAATTCCCAATCCATACCTGATTGTTAAATTAGGTTGCATCATTAGAAATTATTAGGCCATTAAGTGATGCCCCTGCTATGTACTCCAACAAAAGATTGGAGTAGGCCTGGGGAATGGTAAAAAACAGCATGTTTATCTATGTAAATGAAAGGGCTAGTCCAAAAGAAAGTTGAATTAAGTGTATCAACAAAAGAGACTTTCCTCTTAACAATCAGGGATCACTTGTCTTCCTAGGTCTCCAGAGCATTTAGATATTAGTTTTTTTTACAAAATTATTTATGTATTTTTTTGCACAATATAAAACAGGAAACAATATAACCACCAAAATGAAATAAATACATTTATAAAGAAGTTACAGGGCGGTATAAACAGTTCCAAAACAGTACATGACAAGTGAGGTTCATTGAGTAAGCATAGACGGTCAATACAGCTCAAAGGAGAACTATGGGGTTAAGGCTTTTCCCCATAGTTCTCCTTAGGGTAACGGGAGGACACAAACTAGCGTCTTCTCGTCACCCTAGGCTCAGTATACAGCTCGCGGTATACTGAGACGCCGCAGTATATCGCGAGCTGCTGCTCGCGGTATACTGAGACGCCGCAGCTGAAGCAGATCCCGACAATTATGCCGGGATCCGCCCAGCTGCGTGAGTGACAGCTGGCACTGCCTATCTAGAGGCAGAGCCAGCTGTACCCGCCCCCTCCCCCGTCCATTCCGCAAGTCAGCGCTTGCGGATCAGAGTGGGGAGGGGGGAATCCAGCCCCTCCCCTGTCACGGCAGAGAGCCGTGACAGGATCGAGAGGTGAGCGAATGCCGGTATGTGTTCGCTCACCTTCCGATCTACTGAGCCAACCTGTGACAGTCTCATTGTCACAGGTCGGCTAGAACTATGAGGTGAGTGAAAAGCACTCACCTCATAGTTCTCCTTTAATGATAAATTACCCAAATAGAACCAGGATCCAACAAGCCTTATGGTGGGAATGGGAATGAAGGGGTTAAAGGGAGATGAGAGGAGGTAGGTATGAGGGAAAACCAGATATAAAGAATATAACAACCTTGTCAGTCTAGCTAAAACACATAACCATTGTGAAGCAGGGCAGCCAGGAATCAGGCAGGGTATCTGCACCCAGTATCTCTTGTATCAAGTCAGAGGGGTAGTCAAGTGCCACAAGCTGGTCAAGAGCTACCTAAACCCAACAAGAATTGCATCAATGTATGGTAGGACCCTAGCCCTGGGAGACTAGCAAGTGGGCTCAAGTGACAGAGTCTGGGAAATGAACTGAGCAATAATGAATCTATGTAGCCCATATGGCATACAATTTATCTTACCAGCACTTACAGGTGGCAATCCATTGTTCTGATTCCATGATGTCTGACACCAGTCTGATCCAATCTCCTCTAGAGGGAGTAGAAACCCATTTCCACTTAGCCCATAGATATAAGCTACTTTAAAACCAGCTATTAGGCTTTTTTTCTAACATGATGGTGGTACTGTTATGAAAGCAACTTGCTTTTAAATAATGTGCAATGATGGCATTAAAAAGGTAGTTTGGCATATGTTAGGTTTAGCTTAAGATCACTTGATATGCAGCCACAAAATGTACAAAATCTATTCACTTTGTATTAACCACATGTCTTTAAATTGTTCTAGACACAGTTTTGAAAGTTATGTTTATATCAAGAATATTGCATAATGCTGGAACATCCACAGTGTATGAACTCAAAGATACAAAGAATCCATCCCTACTGGGAACATTAAGAGGGGATGGAGAATTTTCTCGCTATGGTACAAAGCTACTTCTAAGCGATCTGGATGGTGATGGCCTTGGTATGAAAACATATCTTCTGCTTTAATGTGATTGCCTATCCAGTTTATTACTGTTACTCAACTTATTCTAAATCAGGATAGAAGTGTTGGGGTGCTACTTCTTTATGATTCAATGTGTCAGTTTTGTCATTAGCTCCCAAAACATTGTTCATTGGGTAACCTGCAACGGCTTGTATTTAGTAGTGTCCAAATACAGGTACAATGCTTGAAGAGTTACAATATATCTACACAGAGTGTCAGCTCCTCTCCTCTTGAGCTGTGCTAAACAGAGTGTGAAGCTGAAAATCCCTGAAATGCATGGATCTGTACTGTTAAAGAAGACCTCACCTGATCTTCGGTCCCGCAGTGGTCAGCGCTCACCTTTCTCCCTCTTCTGCTCCAACTATGGAATGTCCCTCGGTGTCCTCACATCTAATGCAGGTCGATGGAACTGGATAAGATGTGATGACATCAGCTGTCCTTAGACTACCAGAGCCCAGAGGAGAAGAGGTTGCGAGGACTAGTCTAGCAGCCCGAAAGGAGCCAGTGGGATCAAGGAGCAGGTGAGTAACACAGCTTTCTTTGAGCCTCCTAGGAAAAAATGAGCATTAAACTGTGCAGGGTAGTCCCGCTGCAAGAGTCAGTTTTTTTGTTTGCATGGAGTTCTTCTTTAAATTGGCAAGTAACTACAAAATGAAACGAATCCAACAGCTTTTCAATATCCCAATAAAATATTGTTCAAGTTGTCAATCAACTGAAAAACGCCTAATCTGGCAAAGTTATTAGAACTAAGCTATCCCTAATGGGCATTAAAACTTCTATTCATTACAAAAAATAGAAAACTGAAGAAACTAACAAATAGAAGCATATTAGATATTCCAATTCAAAATACAAATTGATATATGCCATTGTTTCTAAGACTTATTAGCAAGTGCTGTATACCCTACAGCAAAGGGAAAAAAGAAAGGACTATATCACATTGAAGAGATAAATGTTTGTTTTTTTGGCTTACAGATGAAATCATTGTGACCTCACCTTTATGGACCGGTGACTACACATCAATGTTGTTCGGTTCTCAGACAGGTCGAGTCTATATTTATAATGGAAATACCACAGGATTGCTAAAAGATAGATGCAAGTCATGGTCTTCACCATGCCCTGAGGACTGGGTAAGAGAATGATGAAATAGCAGCTGTTTTTCTCAATGCTGTGAAATCTTCTGCTAAAATTCTAAGAAAGTGTAGGAAACAACCCTTCTATTTGTGCAATTTGAGCTCACTATTACAGTTAATGGTTACTCTTGCAAGTGTTTGATAGCTACAGGTCTGTAATCTTTTACAGACTTGCAATAAATTACCACAAAGTGACCATTATGGGTTAGAAATATTTGATCACTGTCGCACAGTTGTTCCACATTCACAGGTGTAGTATGTTTTGGCGGATGTAGGTGAATCTGGGCATTTGTAGGGGGTTAAAATTATTTTAGTGACTAGATAATTTTCTATGACAACTATCTCATGTCTTTGGGTACCAAAAGCCTCTGTATTAGAGATTACTTGATTTTGAAAATTTAACAACTGAACTGCAGCTAAATACCAGTATTAAATATCCACCCAACCAGGGCCTACTTGCTCATTTAAAAAATGCATGCAATACTTTTTAAATATGATTGTCTTTTTTTTCCTTTGCAGGCACAATATGTACTAATCTCTCCTGAAGTAAGTTGAACATTTAAGGTACAAATGCTCAAATTTTTTAAGATTTATATTAATAAATCTCAATATTTCAGGAAAAATCAAGGTTTGGAAGCGACATGAATTCAGAGATGATTTGAGGATCTACAGCTCAATGATACACAAATAAGATAAATTTTAGTTAATAATCCCAGAGTCCAGTGCGTTACCAAGTCCAGAGTCCAGTGCGTCACTAAGTCCAGAGTCCAGTGCGTTACTAAGCCCACATATAGCTATATACATGCTATACATAGCATAAAGGTAAAAAATGATATATGCAGTGTTATTCATTTTAGATGTCAAAAGAGTTTTGTGGCTCCCGGTGTTTTATTTTCTGTGGGAAATATATATATATCTATATCCTGAGTCCAATTCATATGCTGTTCTGCATTGCAGTATAATGCATTGCTGGGATTTGTAGTCCCGTTACTAAGTTGTAGTGCGTTACTAAGTCCAGAGTCCAGTGAATTGCAAAGTCCTGAGTCCAATTTTATATACTGTTCTGCATTGCCGTATAATGTATTGCTGGGATTCGTAGTCCCCCTACACCTGTGACCATTCTGCATTACAGTGTAAGCTCCTCTGTACAGAAACTAATGGGACTGGCTGAGTGTTCTCTGTACAGCACTGTGGTATATGTTAGAGCTATATAAATGTATAATATTAGTGTGACACTTTGGGGGGACCACAAGTACCAGCATGCCACTGGCAGCTGGGGGGGGGCGCTAGCCATGTAGACTGTATGGGGCTCCATGATTTCTGATGGCGGCCCTGAAGATATGATTATTGTTGTATACTTTAAAAAATTGGCTGAACACACTATTATAAGTACAGTTGGTCTGTCGTTTTATAAGGCACAAATGAGCTTCCAGGTGAGTTTTCTTGATGGATTCCACGTTCCAGCAGAAAAGAGAAGATTTTGTGACCCCATAATTTGTAGTAGCAAGTGAGACCATTATCAAAACTTATTAGGGCCACACTGACCATGACCACTTAGGCCCCATTCACACGTAGCGATTTCGTGCATTTTTGCCGCGCGATATCGCGCATTTTTGCCGCCCGATATCGCGAGAAGTCGCTGGCTAATGATATTCAATGGAGCTGTCTTAGCTCCATGTCGCGCGTTGCAAGTCGCTTTTACAGCACCCTTTTTTCGGCGGATTTTGCTTTTTTCTAATGGAGCCCAACGGAGAAGGTCACGCTACCGTCGCTGGAACGTCACCCCGAAAGTCGCGCTATCCCGGCCGCTGCAAAAGGTATGTCGCTACGTGTGAATGGGACCTTAGTATGTAAAAGTAAATAAATGTTAATTTGCTGACTGGATACAGGTGTTAGAGATGAAGATTCAAAGGACATATCCTATTGCACTACAACTTCATCTATTACCTCCTTCTGAAGAACCCTTTGGATTAGGTCTAATGTGTAAATGAATAGATGTAAAAAAACCATTTATCAACCTGTTGGTAGAAGACATGGTCGGTGATGTTAATATTAAAACTGTTTTGATTTTGCTATTCCAGAAGCAGGTGGTTGTTGCAGCTGCAAGAAGCTCCAATAGAGCAAGACTGGCTGGAGCAGTGTACATTTACAATCTCAACTGAACTTTCTCGTGTGTAAAAAAAAAAAAAAAAAAAAAAAAAAACTTATAAAGGGGGGAAATTTT